GAATGCCGGGTATTTTCCGGACGGAGGCAAGTCCCCCGTGGGGACGCCAGCGCGCCAGACGCAGAGGAGCGAATTCTCGGACATTACAGGTGTCACAGAGCCCCGCTGTTGGTAACATCGGCGATCTACGATAAGAAGATACGGCTCGAGAGATGGGCCCGCTGGAGTCGGCAGACGCCTGCAGCCAGGCTGTGAGACGACACCATGGGAGATGCAAGCGATCTCGAGCTCGTAGCCCCCATCGCAGGACGTCCTGCTGGAAACGGTGCGAGTACTGACGGGCACGTACCGCCGCCCAGCGTCAAAGACTCATCGATCGAGGAGCTGCGACGCTACGTGCGCCGCTTGAAGATTTGGTTCAAGGTGGAGGTCGGGCTGCCGGAGGATCAGAGGAGCCTCCACGCGTACTGCCAGGATCCAACGGGAGCGACGATCAGACCCAGAGCGTCGTAGAAGGCCTGGACCTGGAGGACTTCGAGGGCATGTGCAGCGCAGAGACGATCATCAGGGCCCTGGAAGCCGAGATCCTGCCCAAGAGCGTATACGAGAAGTATATGGACTTCGAACACACGTTCTTCAGCACCGAGAGGATCAATATCGATACGCTGCAGCAGCAGTCGATCAATATCAAGATGGCCTTCAACTGGCTCAGGGAGCTGCAGGTCACTCGTCGACGTGCAGGGCTCCTTCCTACTGCGCCAGGCGAAGCTGGGCCACGCGGAGCGCATGGCGGTGATCTTGCAAACCTCAAGCTCCCTGCCTTACAAAGACGGCGCAGCCCCCCGGGGAAGACGACGAGGAACTACCGAGGCGGACGACTAGCCACGGCGTTCCAGGTGGACGAGGAAGAGGAGTCCGAGGATTGCGACGGCGAAGACGACCTCATCGCACAGGCGCTGCTGGCGCTTGAGGAGTCCGAGCCTACCGCCTAGGAAAGCATCGTCGATGAGGGCGAGGCGTGCGCGGTGTTGGCGTCGTGGCGAGCCGTGCCAAGGGGGCTGTGGCTGGGGGGCTTCTCGGGAATCATGGATGCCCTCAGTGGGCGCTCGCCCTCGGGGCCCCGAGCGTTTCGGTGGCCCGTCGACGCTCCCAGGGGGGTCCGGGGACTGAGCAGTGGTGCCCCCATCTGTGCGACGACGGTGTCAGGAGTTTCCAGGCGGAGGGGAGTCATGGGCGACCTGGTCAGCCAGGTATCCGAGCAGTTCCTGCTCGCAGGTGGCGTCGTCGTCGTTGGCAACTTCGCGAGCCAGTGCAGGGCGGGTGACCTTGTCGAGATCACCTCGCCGCCTCGAGTTCTCGGTCCAGGGGGCCGCGCCAGGGTTGCCATGGACTTCGCCCTCGGTCTCGCGACCGGATGGGGCCGCCGAAAGATGGGGGATCGCATGCGGGCTCTGTCCGAGGCGCAGCGACGGGCGCCCGCGGTGGTGGGGCTCGCCCCGGCATGCCAGGCGCTCTCAGCTTTGCAGAACGCCGAGAAGCTGTCTACCGAGTGGGAGAACCAGCGCAAGGAGGTATTTCTTTTCCTGCGGTTCGCGATCCGGGTCGCCAGGATGCGGCTGCGCGGGCGGCGCGTAGTTATTTGGAACGCCCGCGGACAGCGGCCTCGCGGGGATTGGCAGAGACGCGCAGGATGATGCGCCGCCCCCGCGCGAAGCGGATCGCTTTAGGCCGGCGAGCCGACGGCCAGAAGGGCCTTATTGTGTGAACTGAACGGGCGCCCGACGGCGATCCTCGCGACGCTGGAGCGCGCCGAGGGCCCGAAGCGGCTGGGCTCGCGACCGCGATCGCGCGACGGTCTTCGGGGGCCAGAGAGACCCGGAGGGCGAACTGTAGAAGATTCCGAAGTGGTCCCAGATCTACCCGCCGGACCTCGTGAAGGCGGTCTGCCTGGTCGCGACGGATGAGCGTGGCGTCGCGATTGTTGCGCGCGGTTCTTCGAGTGCACTCGGCCAGGATGAGAGACCCAGGATGCGATGGCAAGACGAATCCGCGCGAATCCGGGGCGCGCCGATCTCGGGGGGGCCACCTTCGCCCGCGAGACGGCGAGGGCAAGGCCGGAGCTGCTCGAGGCGATGGCGAAGGTGATCGAAAAGTGCGGCGCGCGCGCGGCGGTCAGGCGCCCGCGCCCAACGCCGGCGCCGAGACGCCCCAGCCCAGAAAGCTTTGTGTTCAGCGCCGTCGTCGGCATGTACCTGCCCTTCGTGGATGCCTGGGGCAGCCGGGAGAAGCCGGGGAACGAGCCGACCGCGGCTCTCAGCGTCGTGGACTGGGGATCTGGGCGGCAGTTGGTCTTCGAGCTCCCAGATCGGGGGGGCCAGACCACGCGCCGCGGGCGCGGCCCTACGGGGGGCCCAAGCGGGTCGCCGGCGACCGGGAGAGGGGGCGTTTCCCGAGGCGCTTCCGCCGAGCGAGTGTCGGCCGAGGGGCCGGGTCTGAACCTGTTGGCGCGAAGAGCGAATGCTGGGGCGGCAAGGGCGGAGGCGGCGGGCCACGCGCGGAAGCGAACGCACTATTGGATCCGCTTGCAGCGTCGATCTTGACCGCCGAGGATCAAGAGGGGCTCTTCGACGCGGCCAGCCGTTCCGTGAACTAGCGCGGGCCTGGCCTGCGAGCGTTCGGCCGCGGGGTTCCTCTGCCCGAGGGCTCCGACGAGGGCGAGGGGGGCGCGGGCCTGGAGACCGTGCCCCGCCGCGTTGCTGGAGACCAGGGTCCAGCGAAGTTGACGGGGCTCTGGCTGGTAGCAGGGGGGGCCCCTCCGCGAGCCCATCGCGTTGACTGCCTGGAACGCGCGAGGAACGAGAGATGCGCCCCGTCGATCATCGGGGCCGCCGGGGACCCAGTGACAAGGCGCGCATATGGTGGCGGCAGGGTCCCCGGCGAGAGGCGCGGGGGCGCTGGCGCGGCCCGGCAACGATCGTCAGCGCTGCGACCCAAGGCCAGGCCTGC